CGCCCGACTTGGCCGATTCAGCGTCCTTGAGGAGTTGCTCTATTTGGGCAGCCTGCCCCACCAGGGTAGAATCCCTGGCAGCAACATCTTCCGTTGCCCGAGCAAGGGCAGCTTCCGCTTCAGCCTTCTGATCCTTGGCCCTCTGAAGGTCCATCCTGGACGCGTGGTACCGGCCAGCTATGATAGAAATCTGCTGGGCAGCCTGTAAAAGAAGGAAAGAATGTTAAAACACAAAAGTAGAAAACAAGAGTGAAGGGATCGAAACGGGAATAAACTCACCACCAGGGAGTTCTGGATCATGGAGCGGAACAACACGTTGGTTGATCGCCCCCGATGAGCCTCCATGTCGCCTCAAAATGCAATGTCTCACTCACTGCATAGGCGACATGGGGATCCTGCAGAATGGAATCATCGACCCTGATCACTCGGTTCATGTGATCAGTGGCCCGAGGATTCCACACCGCGGCCTCCACTGTGGATGGGAGGGAAGGAGTAGCTGTTGCTGTTGCTGCTGCTGCTGCTGCTGTGCTGTTGTCGGGCTGCTGTTGTTGCTGCTGTTGTCGAGTTGCTGCTGCGGTTGCGCGGTTGTGAGGGAGTAGAGGGTAATCCACGATCCCTCCCGCTTTGCTGCTGAGCGGGAGGCACCCTGGGTCCTCGGCTGAGGCCATCGTGCCGATGCTTCACCCTCCTCTCCTCCTCCACCTGAGGGTCCCGATCTCGCACCTGACCCCGATCAGGAACCCTTGATGATGGGGCAGAGCTGGTTCCTGCCGGAGTACCGCCGGCCGTCCCTCGACCTCTCCCGGCTGCGAGGGATTGCCTCTGCCTAAGAAACCCCAAATTGATGCGTGGGGTGTTGGACATCGCTTCCTCGAGAGCGTCTTCGGCGTCCAAAGTTTGGAGAATTTGAAAATCGGCCACAGGTCGCCTCCCGAAGTCCCCACCTCGGCGTCCGAAGGAGCAACGTCCTCTCTGACCCCGACCTCAGCAACTCCTTCTACCTCTCCCTCTGAAGCCCGATCCGGGTCTTCCTCCAAGTTCTGCTCGACCTCTAACCTCGCCGCCTGATCAAAGAGCTCTGACCACTGTGAAGGCTCGAAAGGTTGAGGGAGCTGTGAGAACTTCTTATACCCGGGGGTATAGTGCAGCAAATTATGGGCAGCTCGGCCAAATCCGTCGGCACCCGTGAAACTCCAAACCGTTGTTAAGTCGCCAAAATTGACCAGCGACCGAGGGGGTGGAGCTGTTTCCCGAGAAGGAATACCTGCACAACAAAAAAAGATTGTCATAAACATGAGAAGTCCCAAGAAACAAATAAAAATACCCAAAGGAACCGACGTACTTGTCGTTCTCCATTCCCGAGGGCAAAATAGTCATTGTACTCGGGACCGACACCCCTCTCCCAACATCCCTTGAAGATCAAGATGTCGTCCTTGTACCCCTTGTCCGAGTCAGGAAGATGGGTTACAAGGTACATAGAGGGGTCCCTGGCTTTGAGGTAGAAATGTTGGTGGGGCATGACTCTTAGGAGAGAGTAACAGAAAAGGAGATCATTGAGCCCAATATTCACCCCGAGGCGCCTATTGAGCTCTAGGACCCCCATAATTATCCGAAAGACGTTGAGGCAGCATTGCCCGGGGAAGAGACGGAAGCGAGACAGGAACTGAAGAAGCAGGGGGGGTAAAGGAAACCTAATGCCACCCTCTATGATGGCCTTGGTATAGAAAGGCATGGCATCCGTGGCCCCGAAGGTAGGAGAGTACAACAAAGGGTTAAAACCCACTACGTCCACGCTCGGAGGGATGCCATACTTCGCCCTGAACCTATCAATCTGTGCCTCGCCTGTCACCTTGTATTTCCCTGACCCCGAGGGACCAGCCGATGGATTCTCGGGAACAGGGCGACGACGAGGCATCTCTAAAAGAAAGGGAAGAAAAAGTGCTCTCTTGAAAACCCGAGGAAGTTCCCCGAGGGTTTAAATCAAGACGTACCGACCGGATGACACCACTGTTCAAATCGGAAAACAAGAAGGCTAGGAGGACGATAAAGAAGAAGGTTGTGAAACTCACCAGAAGACGTCGGAAACGGAGTTTTTCAGGAAAAACTTTGAAAAATGACTCGCACCGGAAAGACCAGGAGTCAACAATGGGTTTACTGGCTGAGGTTTTAAGAGAAGATGCTGTCGACGATGGCTGAGGAAACAAAAACTCCGGCGAGCAGATCAGAAAGGGCGTATTCTGGGTCAGAGATCGGAATGGCAAAACGAAGGAAACCGGAGAAGAACCCCCTTTATATAGGGGGGAAACTGTCATCATTGGGCGGGAGAACCAAAAACAGCGCATTTAATGCGCACGACATCCCAAGACGGGGAAAGCTGCTCGAGGCCATAATGAAGGACGGATGGCAGTTGGAAAACCCTTCGTCTCCTTACAACGCGTGTCCTCGGTGTCAGAAGATCGAAGGCTGGGGGGCAGTTGATGGGACTCTTCTGAAAAGCCCTAAGATGATGACACGTGTCCTCGGGATATTTGGAACAGTGTTGCCCGGATGTAAGCACCATCGGCGAAGAGCGTCCTTTACCCCGAGGTACCTCTCATATAGGATCACTCATTCGGTATGTTATACAACAAACACGTGTCCTCGGTCACACGTGTACCTCGGGGACACACCACCCCCTTGGTCCCGAGGTGAGCCTTTCCTCGGCGCCGAGGGTCACTCCACCCTGGACGCTTCCTCTACTCCCGGATAAGGCCACTGACATACTGGACATCAGCCTATGCCAGTATGGATTAGTCATCATGACCTCTTCTTACACAAGTAATGTCAGAACGTTCTGGAATACCGACGTAACAGCCAATAAGGGATGGACGCGTGGCAAATAATGTCACATCCGAAGCAGACAAACCGCGTGCCGTTGCTGACACGCGACTTGGGAAAGCAAACAATTAATTGCACCCTTCTGTTGACGAGACCGCATTCAATGCGGTAAGGTTCGGATATGAAAGGCAATAAATGCTCCTATTATAGAGCATTTATTGCATCCTTCCCGACAGGAGCATATTGTACCGTCGGCGTCCCGACAGACTCAGCATTGATTGTTCGGGACCCCGAGCAGTCAATTAGAGAAGACATTCCTCATCAAATGATTACGCACGCTACCTGTGCCTGATGATTACCTACTGACCACACTGACAGCAATCATGATCTTCTAAGGTATAAATACCCCTCCCAAAAGACAAAGCGGGTATGCAATCTCAAACTCTCAACTACGAACTATCCTTCTCAGTGTTTTCTCCTTCCTCTCTCTCATTCAAAGACTGACTAGACCGTCGGAGGGGATACGCCGGAAAACACTCCGGCGCCCTTCTAACTTGTTCTCTTTTGTCCCAGGAAATACCTTTCGCACGTACAGGATCGTCCTTCCTTTCCCAAGGCCTTCCTTTGCCGTTCCAGGTTGCCACCGTACCTCGAAGGTTGTTTCCAGCAGCGTGTTTGGCCACTCAACCGGCTCACTCAGAGTTCACCAGGGGAGAGATCTGTTCCCAATATTTTATATATATCGTGCAGGATCGAGCCCGCACATTTCTCATGTGTGGTCTCTCTTAGATGGTCCATCCATTGATTTTTTTTTTTTTATGTGTAGTAAAGGGAAAGGCCCTGGTGTACTGACTTGCTCTAGTCTCTGATGTAGTGTTAAACACCAACAACTTTAAAAGTTTAAGTTCTTAGAGACGAGGGTAATTATTTATCTAAGAACTTTATATATATATAGAATACCAAAATAAAAACGTCATTTTAGGGATTAGAATAACACAATTTATCAACTTAACACAAAATCTACATAACGTTACCTTGTACGGGTTTGGTCTTAATGCATTTGGATCACAACCCTGCTGACCCACCAAACCTGATTGATAAATGGGTCAACTTGAAATCTAATTATACGCGACACAAATTTAACTATATAATATTTATCACAATACAACCCGACAAGGCATACATGAAAATATGTGTCAAGTATGAATTACACCAACTTTAGCATGACAAGAAGTAAATAGGACTTGACATAACACCATCAAAGTTTCAGCACTCATTGAGGCCGCATTGTTTTCACTTCAATTCAAGCTGATATATCCATTAGTGACTATCCACTCATCCATCCTACAGAACTTTAATAGTACTATAATGATATTATGCTAGCATATCTTCAAAGTGAGTCCTTCTCAGACAAAGAAGTTGCACTACACCTAATATATCCTCAGATTGACCTCCCTTAGGGCATTAGCCATATGAGAAAAATCACAAACGATTAGTAGTGTCACTTACGGTGTTCCCCAATTATATAGGAAATAAATGCACTCAGCATAATACACCAATTACTTCATTAGTGGTGATGAAAATAAGGACTACATGCACTTTAGTGCTCATCATAACATTCTATCATGTGCTAATATCTTTGGCTTAATGGATTATGATACTTTGGGGATTGTAGGGAGGGGAAGGGGTGTAAATTTTACAGATTAACAAGAACCCGACATGACAAGAACAAAACAAATAATACGACTAATTATAGATTGATTCGGATTAATTTTGGGTACGGATGTCTTGTTTGATGAGTATCATAAAAAGGAATGTATGATTTACCCTTTTTTTTCTTGATTTGACATTGTGAAAATTCATTTAAAATTACATAATTTTTTATTTGATTTTAGTGAAATTTTGATCAAGAAATTGTTTAATTTATGAAAGACATACATTTGTTAGATAAGGTTGAACAAGAAAATAATACTAGTTTTGCGGTTTTTAATTTGCGGCCTATACGAACAATGAACGAGTATGACCTGAACTGAACTGCAAATAAAGGAATCTAAAATGATAGGACCCGAATAAGATATAACACGATCAAATCAAATAAATTTTGTAAAATGCGTTTTGCCAGACCACGAATCTTTGAGAATCCTTATCATGCACCCTATCTCTATTAATGGTACTGTCAATCTATGTATAGTAGGGAAGAGCTTGTGCTAAATGGTCCTTATGATCATCTACCTAAGAAGGACACAAATGCTGGACTGTTAGGATTTTCTTCGATTTCAACGGAGAAAAGTTGTCCCCCTAGTGGTGTTATTTGGTTAAATAATGGCATGAAGGTGGCTAAACTAAAGATGTTCAGAAAAAGTTACTTTTCGATCCGTACCACTTTTTTTTTGTTTACTAAGAATAACACGTGTGCAAGCTATTTTATTTTAATGTTTTTGCAATCTATGAATACAATTGGCTCTTTCCAAAATTCAAGTCTAAAAATGATTTCTCGATATGATTATCAAAAGTTAACTATCGACGCCACAGCCGGACCCCTATAAATAGAGTTGCTTCCCAATGCACAAATCTTGAAAGTGTATAGCAACATGAAGAGTTCACTTTGGTGTATAATGCGTATGGAGAGGAATAAGCCTTCAATTGCTATGCTCTTTATACAGTTCATCTATGCAGGCATGGCCTTGTTCTCCAAGGCAGCAATTGCCAAAGGAATGAACCCTACTGTGTTTGTTGCTTACCGCCAAGCATTCGCCACACTTGCCCTAGCTCCCTTGGCTTTCTGCCTCGAAAGGTTACTCAAACACTCTCTCTCTCTCTCTCTCTCCAATTTTGCATTTGTTTTACTCCTGGTGATACTTTTCTAATTGTGCAGTAAGAAGGCAGCTCCCTTGTCATTCAGATTACTCTTGAAGATATTCTTCGTTTCTTTATTTGGGTGTGTACTACTATGCCACAGACCCCATGATTAAAGTTTGAGCTACCATTTGAGTTTTAAATTAACCTATAAGAAATAAGACTGCAAGTGAACAACGAGATACATCATTTACGTTCATTTATCTATCAAACTAATAAGTTGAAGCTCAATTATAAAACTCATTTAATAAATGAATCGAGCTCGAGCTCGAGTGTTGTATGTTCAGCTCCTCAGGGTTGAAAACCTTTAAATAAAAGCTACACATATGAATTTATATAGGCATGAACAATCTGAACTTGAACAAATTGTTTTAAGTTTGGTACAATCCTAAACCGATTTCTAACTCCCTTTGTAAAAAGAACGAGCCGAGGCCGAATAGTCTGATCCACTCACTTTGATTCTTTTGCTCCCGTTATAACGAATATCAAGACTATTGAACTCGTATCATAGAATAGTGTTTTAACAAATTTTCATGTATGCAAAATTTCAGGATTACCCTGAGTTTAAACCTCTACTATGTTGCAATGAATTATACCACTGCAACATTTGCTGCTGCCACCACCAACACAATTCCGGCAATAACCTTTGTGATGGCTGTTGTGTTTAGGTATGTTACAAAAAACAATAAAGAAAAAATATTAAGAATTGAATAATATATATAGAGAAATGTTGGTTTTGAACATTTCAGGGTGGAAAGCATTTCCATAAAGCAAAGGCATGGAATGGTGAAGGTGTTGGGTACAGTACTGGGTGTTTCTGGGACTTTGGTATTTGCTTTTGTCAAGGGACCTCCTTTAAAGCTCAACTGGTACCAGCCAAACCAAAAGGAAGTTCCTGGCCCATCTATGGAGTCTAATTCCAACTGGGAGTTGGTAAAAGGTTCTCTCATCATGCTTGCAGCCAATACAGCATGGTCTCTGTGGCTTATAATGCAGGTCTCTCTTTCTCTCTCTTTTAAACGATCCGAACAATTTGAGTTTGACTCGACTTTGACATGTTGAGGATCTTTCAAATTAAAAAAATTAACAAAATATGATCTAATTTCGAAGTATGTTTTGTAAAAGAGCTAACCTGACTAATATATGACTCGACTCAAGTAGACTCGAATGTTTTTCTATTTATATATAATTCTACCTTAATTTTTAAACAAACCCCTATTAAAAAGATTATCAGCACCAAATAATTCCAAATTGATTATTTGGTTAATCATTATGTCCTAGTGTGTAATGGTTCGAATTGAATGCTCACAAACATCTTTTAAGTCAAACTTAAGTAAGAATCTGACCTCATGCGTAGCACAAGCTTTACAAAGCACAACCTAGCCAAGCTTGAGCATACTCAAGCTCAACTCTCTCTCACACACACAAACACGTACAGCGCTATCAGCTTTCTTCACTTCATGATCTTTATGTTTTTGTTTCTTCTCCCCTAACTATAAAATTTGTTCCAGGCTTCTGTTGTCAAGCAATATCCAGCAAAGCTACACCTTACAACTCTACAGTGTTTCTTTAGCAGTATTCAATCAGCAGTCTGGGCCATGGTGGTTGAGAGGAACATATCATCATGGAAGCTTGGATGGGATATCAATCTTTTTTCTGTGGCCTACTGTGTATATTTCTTCATCCATATCATTGATAACACTAACACAACCTAAGTGCATACATGTGCCACAACAAAATGACCTCATAGTTCTTTTGTTTTTAAACTACAACTGACCCGATAAGTTCAAAATTTATCCAAACATATCCATATCGCCTTTGAAGCGTATCTGAAAGTCCATAAATTACATGCATGTTTTTTTTTTTGTTGTTTTTAAAAACTTGGTAATTCACTGAAAATTGCAGGGCATAATTGTCACTGGGATTACTTACTGGCTACAAATTTGGGCTATAGAAAAGAAGGGACCCGTTTTCACAGCCATGTTCACTCCTCTGGCACTCATAATAACGGCAATTTTCTCAGCAATATTGTGGAAAGAGATCCTTCACTGGGGCAGGTCGGTATCCTTACTCATTTTGTACTCTGAAGAGCAATGGGTACGGTGTGAATCGAGTTGTGACATGTTTCGATCGTGTTATTTTAGATTCATATTAGTATTGTTTAACCTAAACCATTTACTTAAACGTGCTCAACATCTTAATATTAACTCGATATAATTATTAATCATATTAGGCTGTGTTCGTATCAAGATTATGTTATTTTATGAAGCAAAAACCCAAACTAGAAGTATTTCCACCTATAAGTTCCTTCATCCCAAGATCATCTAATTGTAGAAAGGTTTATACATCATATCAAAAAATGGAAAGAAAAAAAAAACAATTATTTGTATTCATCTAACCGTAGTTAAGTGTTGTCATCTTGAACTCTTAAGAGTGGTCGTGATCAAATTTGTCCTCTTGCAAATAAGAGATCTTAGATTCGATATTTCTCACACCTCTTAAGGGTCAGTCACCTTTATTTCTAAGAAAACATCTCTTTAAACTAGCTCAAGTGATAGTGGCCAGAACTCAAGGAATAGTCAGCGCAATGCTGACACCTTGTAACAAAAAAAAAAAAGTGATTTTGTCTTGATAGTACTGATTTATTCTTATTTGACACTAGGTCAACAATTAATTAACCTTAATCTATCAATTTCGTGTCGAGTTATTATCGTGTTATTTTGTCATTCATAATATCAGGGTACTTTTTTGTTTCATTTGGTGGCAGTATTTGTGGAGCAATATTGCTGGTGGGGGGCCTCTATTGCGTCCTGTGGGGGAAGAACAAGGAAGCAGAAATGGAAACAAATGAACAAAAGACACCAGACACTAAAGAGGGAACAATGGTGGAGTGCATTATACAGCAATGAGTGCTCGGATAAGGCTTTCAAGATGTATTTGACAAAGGCATGCCCACTATCTATAAAGAAATATCAATATATATATGGATGAATCTCAGCTGGGTATTCTTGTAAATAGGAAACATGTTTGTACTGTAATTGTTAGCTTTCCTTTTCTATTGCGATTTATAGTATTTCTAATCCTAACTGAAATTTGAGTCAAATTTCAATTCAAAAAATAAAAATAAGCTCGGGTAACCCAGCCGAAGGGCTACTACAGTACCAATCAAAAAGACTGTTGTTGCCATTGGACTACGGAATAAATTTTGGAATTTATTAATATTCTCTAAAAAAATATTGTTAACAATTCCACGAGTACTAAAACCATTAAAAGAATACCCAATAATTTATTGGGTACTGTAAAAGTATTTGAAATACGAAAAAAAAAAATATCATTTAGATAATATTTCTAAAGGGGTTGCAAATGAATAAACCAATTCACCGATCATTGATGAAAAGAGACTCAAATTAAGGGAAAAATAAATTTTTAATGGTCAAATTTTATAGGTAATGTAAATTTTCAAATAAGTAAAATAAGTGATGTTTACTATGCTAGAAGTTACAAAAAAAAAAGTCCCAATACCCGGACTCCTGTCATTATGGGATCTAGTGATGGTGGTCTGCGAACAAGGTTACCGGCCAAAACCCCTCCTTCAACTCATCTGCTCTTTCCCGTCGTCGCCACCACACACCATGGAAACTATACGTCTCATCAGCTTCCATAGATCTTGCTCCATGGCACAATCTATAAAATACTTAGGTTTTAGCCCATTGGTCATGCATCACAGTAATAATTTATTTTTAGGGTTAATTGTAAATTATATATTAAAATCTCGTTTGAATCTCAATTTGTATACTCAAAGATAAAAAATTTTAATTTGCACTCTCAAAGATAGAAAGCTAACCGTCATCAGTTTGCCGTCTAAAACTAAATAGATAAATTACACTTAAATCCCCTCATGCTTGTCACTTAATTATTTAGATACCCTCACATTTAAAATATTATTCCTACACCTCTTGACTTTTGTGCACGTGTAACACATAACTCATTATCATTGATATCTGTTAATATAACCATTAAAAAATATGATTTTATCCTAATAAAAAATTATAATTTCATACTACTCTTTAATTTGTGGACCCGTTATACTCTAAATTTCAAAATCAAGCTTACCATTTGAATGTCCAATATAATGCATGTATTTATATAATATTTTTTATATCCAATACAATACATCACTTAAACATAATTATTTAAATGTCCAATTGGAGGAAACATTTTTAGTCATATTTCGATTGTCAAGGAATGTAAGTGTAATATTTCAAAATGTGAGGGGTCTAGACGATTAAGTGACAAGAATGAAGGGGTCTAGGTGTAATTTATCTATTTAGTTTTAGACGGCAAACTGACAACTATTAGCTTAAGGTGCGTATTAATACAAATTTTAATCTTTGACGATACAAATTGAGATTTTTTATCTTTGAAAGTACAAATTGAGATTCAAACCAATTTTTGGAATGCAATTTGAGATTAACTCTTATATTTAATTACAGCCTATTTAATATTTAAAGGCCATTAAACTTAATAGACCAAAATTTGATAAGCATAAATACCAAAAAAAAGAAAAAAGAAAATATATATCGATGAATTTTCATAGTTTGAAATTGTTACATAGCATCTTTTTTATTCTTTATATATACAATCATGCTATCAATTCACTATTTATTACTCATTCGATTATGCAATCAAATGTACACTCTATAATGTATGTCGTAATTGGCAAAATAAATGTCAAAATCACAAATAAACTAACAAATATGAATATTAAGTCTTTTCTAGTATTAAACATATTTTTAATCGTATTACCAAAATGCTAGATCAAAAAGTATCGTAAACTACCTAGCATTGTAGGGTTGCCGCTGATTGTTCAAATTCATTTAATTTGAGTGTACACTAATTGATGTGCTAAAAAATAGAGTGGATATAATTGAAAATATTAAATAAATACTTAAAATACATATAAATAATTTTAAGAAAAAAAAATTGAGAGTGATATGTGCAGGTCCACCTTTCGTTTTTCATGGCCTAGGGTTACATCACCATGAACCCTAGATCTCATACCCTTTTTCTTCTAAGCCTCTCTCCCACTGTCCATTTCTAAATTACTTCTTATGGAGTTGCGCATAAAGACAAGGGGGTGGACCCGAAAGCTAGTACCTCAGGTGTTGAATCGCCAAAAGAAAGTGTAATGTTGTCCAACAAATCGCCACTACTAGCCGAGAGAGAGGGGTCAGTCAGAAGAAATATCCAGTGACTGATTGATCAAGCTTATGGCTGAGAATGAGTTGCTTAAATCTAAAGAGGTAGTTCAAGTGCTAATAGGGACAAATTATAAATTCAGATGTTTTGAGTTTGAATTATAAACCTAGGCCATAAGAGATTCATCCCTCATGAACATTCTAATTTTGACGTTGATGATTGACCTTTGATCGAGCCATAGGGCAAAACAGATATTTTACATCACATATTGATTCGGACATCGGATTGACCTCAAATTGTACCAGAATCTTCACTTGGACGTTACGGAACTTTTGGCACCAACCTGAGGTCCATCGGACATCGAAAGCGCCCTCACATGCCGTCGGGGTATCCAGTGGTCCTCTTGGTCTACGTCATCTTTAATCTCAAGAAACCATTAGTGTCAAAATTCTGTTTCAAGACCCCTTCTTGTCACCACTATAACTCAGTCCATAGAAAATCTAACTCTAACCCATCCAAAATTTGAAGAAAAAAAGATGCATGTTTGGTTTGTGTCTCAAAAAATAATATTTGAAAACAGATTTTCGAAAATTATTTTTAATATTTTTTGTGTCGCTGAATTTTATTGGTTATATAATTCTAAAAACTATTTTGAAGAACAAAAAACAAAAAACATGTTTGGACAGAAAAACAAAAAATAATGAAAACAGAGATGATGTTTGGATTGAATGTTTCACTGGTAGAACATTATATTACAAATTATAACATAACACAGACCATTGTTTCTACATACAAGCTCCACATTATATTACAATGAGAGAGCTAATCACTTCTCCACCATACTGATCACAATTAAAAAACAATAAAAACAACACGACAAACAAAAAATGACATTACACCCACAACATAAACAAAGGATAGACAATTGGTTGCAGGCGGTGTTGGTATTCATCAACCCAAATAAATGCATTCCTATGGTCTCTACCAAATGGACACCTATTAATTAAAAAAAAAATTCAAATACCATTTACATGTATTCCAATCAACAAATTACATAAATGAAACGCAACTCATAGTTGATCAATGGGCGGGACTTCGTGTTGAACACCCATAGTTGATCCTCCAAAGCCCTTCAATTCACTATTGCAAGCCAGATCTGTTGTATTTAATAAATACGAAGAGACAAAATTAAACAAGCATAATGGAAAAGAAACTATCAAACCTTGTTATGCAAAACTTGATGGTAGTTGATGATTTCGAGATAGCTAATGTACCAAGCTCGTTATATTATCTGGATTATAACAACCCAATTTTTGCTCTCATAAGAAAGAATTTGAGGGATTTAAGGCTTTGTAAGTATTATTTGTTTCAACCTTTTCATTTCAGTGCCAAATCATCAGCATGTGATATAGGAATTTTCTATATGTAATGTCACTTTTTAAAAAGCTTTTCTTTGAGAGGAAAAGTGACAACCCTTTGTTTTTTTGATAGAAGAAATCAAAGAGAGTTGTGCCAAAAAAATACAACTACCAATTGCACAACACACTCGTTTGATCTTTTCTTAGCACGCTTGAGTCTTTTGATCTTTTATTATCAGGATTTGATCTTGCTATCTTACACTAGATAATAATGTTGTTACCTGATACCAAGTAGACAATGAATTCGAGAATTTGTTGTTATAATTGAAAATATATGTTTCAAGCATGCTAATAAACTGCTCATTCTTTTCTAACAAAGAGGAACTTGACCAAATATGATTCTATTTTTTAGAGCAGTAGAGCTTGTGGAAGCAGTTCTGCAGGGAAGGAATGGGTCAGTCTTCTGCTATGGTGCAACAGGAGCTGGGAAGACATACACAATGCTTGGTACAGTGGAGAGTCCAAGGATGATGGTTTTGGCAATAAAAGATCTTTTCAACAAAATGCTTAAATCCAAAAATACTTTTAAAAAAAACTAGATATGTTGCCGAAAATAGCAGAGTAGAAGAGTCACGGGAGTTCTTAGACAAAAAAAAAAAAAAAAAACTCAATGTCACAGGAGTTGTTAATAGATCTGATAGCAGAGTACCAAATCTTTTATCGAAAAAAAATCAGATATGTCACCGGTATCTCAAACGAGCAGAGTCACTAGAGATCTGAGATACTGGAACATCATAATCGATTTGTCGGAGTTGTTAGACAACAGATATGTTATAGATCTGAAGGTAAAAATGAAAAATGCAAACAAATCTAACAAACACAAACCCTATTAAAAATCAAGGCTAAAAAACAGGAAAAAAAAAACAGAGACCTTTGGGTTACTTGTCGCCTGTGATTCGCCGGAGTAACATTGGTGATTCATTGGATGTGGTGTCTATTCTTCGCTAGAGCTCAAGTGAAGAAGATGGCTGAGCAGGGCAAATGATGGGAGAGGCTGAAAAAAAAAGGCACAATTTGTACTTAGTCCATTGATGAACAGTAATGCATAGTACTCTATACTCCGTGTTTTTTAAAATTTCCAAGTAAATTTTTAGAAAACAAGCCTGGCTAGTTTCCCATTTTTGTGTTCTAAATCTCATTTTTTTTCAAAAAATTTGAGAACAAAAATACTAAGTAAACAGGTTTTTGGTGTTTTTAAAATTTTGAGAACAAAAAAAAAGTTTTTGAATCGCAATCCAAACACGCCCAAGGTTTTTCAACCCGGGGTCAAACCTGCAACTACCTTTTTCACC